TTTGTCATTTCTCTGATCACAAATGCAGACATGGTTTAATGTTACACGGCGCGATGCGATGCAACTCTATAATGTCGGAGTGAAAAAAACCCCCAAATGTCAGTTTAAATTTCAAACACCAAGCTACTTTATAACAGAAGACCTGAAGGGCCTGCCTGAAATATGCACAATTGAATTATTCATGTAATTCTAATGGTGAACGTTTTGTTTGTTTTTACTCACGTTCATTGTATGGAAAAGAGCAACTCAGACATTCTGCTAAATATCTCCTTTTGTATTCCACAGAAGAGAGAAAGTCAGAGAGAACGTGAGATGAGTAAATGATGATGCATTTTTAAGTGAATAAATGCAGGAATATGAGCAGCACACAGAAGCAGAGGTGCTGTATCCAGCCCTAGGATGAAGTGTCTTGGGATGTAGTGACTCAGCAGAAAATCAAACAAAGAACATCAAGTGCTCATGTTCCTGAAACATCAGACTGCAGCAAGGAATGATGGCGCTCCGAGCGGATCGGGTTCTGTTTATTGGCTGATGAAAGTGCAGTCCTCGGGGAGAACCGTCTTTTTTTGGCCAATGACCTCACATCTGCATCTGCCTCCTTGTCCAGAAGCAGCGCTTTTATGTAACGTTTACTCTGAACATAAGACTGTGGACAAAAGCAAACCCTTAAAGGGATAGTTCACCCAAAAATATGAGTACCTTTTTTCTGTGGAGCACAAAAGGAGAAGTTCCAAGCTTTTTCAGACAATGAAAGTGAATGGTGACCAGTGGCTATCAAACAAGAATTTCAGTGAATTACAACTTAAATTTCAATAGCATATGGGTCATTATTATGCCTTATGGTGTACTTTTATACCTTTTAGAGTTCGCCAGCCCCAGTTCCCAACCCCTTTTATTATATGGAACTGAGCAGCATGAAGATTCTTCAAAACTTCTCTTTTTGTCTGTTTTGTGTTGATCAGTATGATGGTGCATAAATAATTACAAAATATGCTTTTTGGGTGAACTATCCATTTAAAATGCCAGCGCTTGGCATAGTCTGATATTTTTACGGTAGGTTGACCGTTTTGAGTGACCACCCATCCCCACCCTTCCTATTTAACAGAGACAACATTCACAAGCATCTTTTCGTAAGCCATCCTTTCTTCTCGGTTTGGTGTTCAGCCCTTGTGGTGAAGGCAAGGCTCGCTGTAACCTGATGGAGTGCGAGCTGCAGAGGCTAAAAATAGCAGAGCTGTTCAGTGAGTCAAAACTCTGCAGCAGAGACTCACACAGACTGGTGCATTGACACAGTGAACAGAGAAAGCACAAGAGATTCAAAGAGTGAGATGAGCAAGTGGCAAATTGCAGTTATCCTAATGCACTGTGATCTGATTGTGGGCATTCAAGAGGATTTTATCTTGAACCTCGGAGATACACGATGTTTCATTTCAATAACTTAGATCAGTAAATCTCAAATTTCACT